TTTTTGTCTGTATAATCGACAAGAGATTGATAATATATATATATACACATACATATATATGTATATATATAATGTGTTTTAAATTTTAGTTACGGTTTATTACCGATATAATATAATATTAAATGTAATACCCAATTTTTTAGTTTTAATTTAATATAAAAAAAAATTAAGAATTACATTAGTTATTTTTATAATTTATACTAACTTTCATTTTTTTTATCGGTGACTAGCGTAATATTCTTATTAGGTTACTGTAAATCATTCTTTCATCAATTATTTCAGATCAAAATGATCAGAATTCAAACTCCGAATTAAAGAAAATTGCGATTAGAACGTTCATTCGTTTACTTTTATTTAATTAATTAAATACAATAATTAATTTTCTAAATAATTAAATAAATATTCGAAGAATTAAAGTCTATTACGTTGAAGGAAATTGAAGTTGTTATCCAAGTTGCTTATATATAATCTTATTATATCTATATATCTATATATTTGTTTTCAATGTGAAAACGATTTGAGGTGCATACAAACAATTCCCACGTGCCCTTTTGAAATTAATTATAACTATACACATATACGTATACATATAGGTGTATGGAAATAGGAAAAGGAGGTAGAGATTTTCGAATACAACACAACTCTTTGTTTGATTTTATAATTAATGGCCGCAAAAATTGTACCAAATCAATCTTTTGTGCTTTAAGTCGGTAACACCACCTAAAAATGGCAAAATATATATATATATATATGTGTGTGTGTGTGTATATATATATTAGATTATAAAGGGTAATTTAATTAATTAATTTAAATTAATTTTGTTCTTAATCCACCTTTAATGTGGTAATTTTTAGTGTTAATTTTTTATAAATACTTTATAATATTAAAATTTTGTATAGTCCTATACTTGTACATATATATATATATATGCTTTGTTTATTATAGGGTAAATCTTATGTTTTCGATATGCTAACATCACACTACGTTTATCTTCTTCTTCGTTGACTTTGGATATTAAATTTTGATTGGTGGCTTCTTGGATTTTCTTCTAAAAATAAAAATAAAAAAAGATAATTAATTTATTATAATAATTAGACACATGCCGCATAATTAATTATTTAAATTTAATTTAATTTAATTCGATGACATATTTACTAATTAAAAAATTTAATATAATTTTTATTGTCAATTTATTAATTAATATTTCTACCAATCAATTTTGACGCCTCCCCAAAAAATCAATATATAAAAAAAATAAAACATGTGATTGAATTTCTAGAATTCTCTCGATGAATATTGTTTATTAAGTATATGACATAAATTTATAAGACTTTTTTTAATATTTAAAATATAATTATTATAAAATATGTATTTTACTCGTAAATATATTAATATATTAATAAATTAAATTTTTAATTTTATTAAATTAAATATTATAATTATTTAAAAATATAATAACGTATTATTAAGTTTTTAATTTTATTGAATCAAATATTATAAGTCGATAATACAAAATAACGAATTTTAAATCTTTAATGAAGTTTGAGCTCATAATTTTTAATATTTTTATATTAATAAATAAATAAAATATTATAAAATTAACGTCTAATTTTGGTCAAGTTTCAAATGGGTTGACATAATTTTTTGAAAAATAATATACATATACATATTTGTGTTATATTTTTTTAGTTAAATTATGTTATGTATAATATAATGTGTATGCAAAATTGATCCAATGGATACTATTGCAGACACCTTACCCATCTTTGGCCTCCTTCAAGAAGATCAAGACTTCCAAAACCAGGATGAAGAAGCAACAGCCAAACAAGACTTGAAGAAACTAAAGCTTTTTGCCTAACTCTTGACTTCAGTTAAGAACAAAATAAATTTAAATTTGGGATGAAAAACAAGATTTAGCACCCAATCTGATGATCTTCCAAACAGAAGTCAAGATTTAAATAATCTAATAATACAATCCTAAACACAACTCCAACCATTCAATTTAATCCAGCTACAAAATTCTTTTAGACACTACAGATTTAGCCAAACCAGCGGTAACCCACTATAATTCGATCATAATCTCTCGATGACTAACTACTTCTGTGAGTTCGATTCAGGTTACATAGTTGCCGGACTTCCCATCAGGAAGCCCCAGGAACGGCAGTCGCTGCTGCATACATGCTAGGATCCTGATTTGGTGGAACAGCATAGCCATAGCCATAGCCGTAGCTCTGACTGCGATGATGTCCCCCGTTCCATTGGTTATTCGGATCAGCTCTCCACTGCCAGGGTCCAAAAGTTCAATCTAATTGTTAGATTCTAAATCAAAAGAATGTTTTTCATATCAGACATTCGGTACTACTTTTTTTTAAAAATAAATAAATAATGGTATATGTCACTGAATACAAGCACTAAGGGGGTACCAACTTCAGAGAATATAGAAAATGACCCAAAACAAAAAATCTAGATATATATTATTACGGATTGTGATACTTGGTTGATACTGGATTAGCATTTCTTAATACCTCCATATATAGCGCATATGTGCGACTAGTGCTGCTACTACACGTTAGATTTTAATATAAACAAAACCATGAGATTATAAGAAACGTTTCCCAACAGAAATATGACAATAAAAATTCCCATTCCTGATTGATCTGGAGTCAACGTTTCCTAATACTGCAAGAAAATTTTATAATAACTTACATCGAATAACAAGTAATTCTATATTTTTTCACTGACTGCGAAGTCTATGAATAGAATCGAAATATCATTAGTGAAGTAGAAATTGGCAGTCAGCTAAAACTATGGTAGAAACATCGAGAACACAAATTGAACATCTAATTAAAAGCCAACTTTGATGATGTAGTCTGGATAAATGTAGCCAAGGAAAACGAGAAAAAAATGTGTTTAGAAATGCACTTCAAGTCAAGAAGTTACCTGTTTGTTTCCTGGACTACGACCCCAGGAAAGACGAACTGTCTGCTTTCCGATGACTGTCCCATTCAAACTCTGCATAGCATCCTCAGCATTCTTTCTGCGGATAGAAGGTAAGGCTACATTACTTTAAAGATACCCTTCTTGCCTTTATCACTTAGCATTAACAATTATCTCTTTGAATGGCATTATCATTATCCGGCTTTTGAATTTTGTCCCGTAAAAAGTTTAGAATGGACTATAATCTGAAGAAGGTTAGGCACCTGTTCGTAAATTGCACGAACCCACATCCTTTACCTACTGGTATTTTCACGGAGACAACTTCACCGAATTGACAAAATGGTTGCCTGAGTTCGTCATCACTTACATCAGAGTCAAGTCCTCCAACAAATATCTGCAAGAGAAATGAGCATAATAAGATATACAGATAGAGAGAGACAGGAAAGGGGTAGGCCTTCAACATGGACTCACAGTTGCATTATTTGGTTCACCATCAGATTGAGAACCTTGAGCCATAGAGCCATTCGATGCATGTCCACCAGCCAGTACCAAAGCTAATCAAAGGAAACCAAATAAATTTTTTTTTCTAACATCAATATATTCATGAGAAAAGCATCAGGATATGACACAATTTGCAATATTGCAAAAAACAGCCAACTTTTACTTCTTGTGAGTAACTGGGTCACAACTAACCTTCTTATAATAAGGGAACATAATTGAACCAAGATTTTCGAGAGAAAGAGCTAAAAATGAATCATTAACAAAAATATGTAGCCTGCTGTGACTCCACGAAACAAAGTATTAAGTTTCCCATTTATATAAATGAGATGTAAAATAATAATAATGATGATGATAATAACAATAATAACACAATAAAAAAAAGACAAATCT